ACCGCTCGTCTGCCTCGCGTTGTCGTCTTGAGCCGTCTCCAGCTACCTGGGCCGTGGCGCAGTGCAGCGCGGTCGAACCTGCGCCTCCGCCGCGAGACGAGTCTCCTCTTCGCCAGCGTCGAAGCGCAAAGCGGATGACATTGACATCTGGGGCCCCTCGGCGCGGCGCCCTTCGCCGAGCTCGACGCTGCGCGCCCCCGACGCACCTTGCATCGAGATGGTCAACGCGGTGACCATGACTGGCTCTTTCGAATTGAAGACGAAAAGAAAATGGTCCTCTGGGCGATCCCAATCTGCAGACCTGGCGATGGGGGCTCTCGGCTCAGCACGGGCAAGATCGAATGCCCTTTCCACCCGCCCCAAACGTTCCATGAGGGCAGTATACCCGTCTTCAAACCTAGTGATGCGCGCCCCACTGGCCGCCGTTCTCTTCATGATCTTCTCAAGCCGCACTGACACTCTGGACTCGCTACCTTCATGCAACGGGGCTGCACTCGCTGCCGCCGTATCAGGGTGAGACTCCGAACGTAAGGGGCTCGAGGGGCCCCTGGCTGATGCTGCCGATGCACTACCGCCTGCGCGTTGAAAACTCTTCATGCTGAGCTTCGCGTGCAATGCAGACAAATAGCTGGGCGCATCCATGGATCTCCACGGCCGAGGGAGTCAGCTCCGCTGTCGCCGGCAGCCTCTCCGCTGCCGTCCAGCGCGATGATGATGCTGAGGACCACCCGGCCCCGCATTGACACTGGCACCTGGCGGAGCCGGCCACTGGGAAGGCCAAGGGAAGCCTGCGCGCGTTCCACTCCTTGGCGGCGAAGGCGCGGGAAAAGTAGAGGCGGCCAGGGGGGCCTCATCGAATGCTGCGTCTGCAGCTGCTGCACCTGCCTGCCGATTTTGCACTTCCCTCCGACGATCACTAGCGCTGGGCGTGCGCGAGCCACATGCACTCCTCCATCTCTGATCAGGGGCCCCTGTCTCGCAATTTCTTTTCGGCGTTCCATCTTGTCCACGGCGAAGGGTAGCAGGGGGCGTGGGACCTAGGGCGGTGAACTCAACAGCATGGCCATCACTGTCAGCAACGCGCCGAAAACGCCGAGGAGCCGCCGTCCCAATGTCCATCCGCTAGAGCTGCCTGGCCTTCTTGCTCTCCTTGTTCTCCCTGTTCCCCGCCGTGCCGAAAAAAGAGGCGCCGCTTCGCACAGGGGCTGGGAACTACTGAAATTGCCTGCGTGAGCCGGCGCACGCGTCGTGTCCCTCGGGGACTTGCGGTGGTCTGGCCTTTGGTTGGAAGTCTTTTCTCAGCCCAGGGGGGGAGGCGAAGGAAGTGGAGAGGAGGGGCAGGAGAAGGAGGAGGAGGAGGAGGAGGAGGAGGACGGGGGGGCCAGCGCCGAGGTTGATCATTGGATTCGAGAGGGAGGAAAAAGGAAGGCGGCGGAGGGAGTGGTAAATGTGGCGGGCTAAAAAGACTTCCTCGAATATCTGGATGGCGCAACCTGGGATTCCTCAACGAGCGAGCGGATCGGACGATGACGAGCGAAATCTGAGCACAGTCGAGACAGACCAGGCAAGCCTGGGACACGAGGCGTAGTGACACTGTCTGCCGAACTCATGTACACAACCAAGAATGCATCCTACACGGCCTTGCCCATTCAGGATGCGGTGGGAAGTCAGCCAGCCCCCGCGCATTGTTCGATACCCAGGCCCATGAAGGGGGGGCAGACGTCAGGATCTCACGAGTGGCGATCCAATCGGTGGCGGCGATCGTCGCGGCACGGTCTGGCCACCACTTCAGGAGGCGGTGGGTGTAGAGAGCGGGCAAAGCATCATTTGGCCAGCAACTCAGTCTTGGCGAAGCGCTGGGGCTTCACTTCATTTTCCCGACAGGCTTGAGCAGCGGCAGCATGCGCGGGGCTGGCGTCGCCGACCGCGGTGTCGTGCTCGACGCAAGCCCTGCGCTTCCAGTGCGGTGGGCAACGGCGCCCAGGAGGAATGACAGACAGGCGGCGCTCGTCAAGTTCACGGGAGTGGGGAGTATCTGTCTTTTCCACCAACCAGCGGTAGATGCGCCCACAACCGGGGAGGGTCACGATCGCGGTCCGAGCGAGCGAGGCGATGCTGAGGATCTCGAGCGGGCAAACCTTGGGGCCGCGCCAGTCTTTCAGCTGCGCCCATTCGCGTGCACCGAGAGCGCCAAGGGGCAGGCGGAAGGCTTGCGCCAGGGCCCCTTTTCTCCGCCTCCTTCATCGACACTGCCAGGGGCAAAAACTGCATGACGTAGCTCAACGCCGACGTGCAGCGCGTACTGTACAACACTTACGACGATAATGCAGGGGTGTTGCCAGCGCCCACGGCTGCTGCACGGGCCCGATACTTCTGACGAGGAAATTGCCGGGAGTCCTCGAACACTGTCGAGGGACCAATCCAAATGCCGAGGTAGAAGAGCTTTGGCTCGATACGGAAGGTGGCCCACTCGGGGATGAATGTCCTCAGAAAGCTTTGAACGCGGGACTTCAGCTCGGGTGCAGGGGCCAGAGACAGGGGTGATCATACACATGTGGGCTTTCAGGTACAGGTGGGCCACGATCTCGACAGCTCTCATCACTCGGCGTAACTGCAGCAACGTGCGCAGGTCAGCCAGCGCCCCTCCGAGGTAATCGGCGCAGGCACGGTTGATCCCCTTCCGCGGGGGCTCGAAGCACCGGTGGATATCCAATAACGCCGGCGATGGAGCAGCAGCGAAAAACAAACCTGAGAGAGCACATCCCTGGATATTGCCAGAACGAATCCAACGCGCGTGGATAATGAGCCCCTGGGCCGACATCACACCCTGTATGCAATTATACAGAGTCGAGACGAAGCGCGGCAGCGGAATTGGAAACCCCATTCGAGAGAGGACGAGAAGCACGAACTCCTGCGACCGGCTGGGGAACGCGTGGCCATGATGCAGCGCGTAGAGCGCGGGGCACAGGTGGTCGGCTTCAGGCGCCGACGAGTGGGCACGAGAGAGCGCGTCAACCTCTAATCTGTTCGTGCAAAAGTTCCGGCCTTTCATGAAACCAAATTGGTCAGCAGGAACGAAACGGGCCAGGGGCCGCTGGATGGCAACATTCACAGTCGCCGTCAGGAGCTTGATGCTAGTGTTACGTATACCCAGCACACGCACTGATGAGGCCTCTCTCTCGCATTCGCCCTCTCTCGTGTCCGTGCTGGCCTCGCCCTTCGGCAGGAAGGCCTGGGGGGCGATGCTTCCCTCGAGGAAAAGGCCATTGTCCGCCAACATCCACGGCAGGACGTCGCACAAAAGCAGCAGGCCACTCGGGTGGGCCAGCCAGGCCGCGTAGCATAGGCGATCCACGCCTGGAGCAGAATCGCTGACTCGAAATGCAACTCTCTTCATCATCGCCAACGTCGGGTCGGGCAATCTGAGAAGTCGACGGGGTTCGCGAAGCGGGTTCAGTACGACTTGGCAGATTTCTCGGACCGTGGGGAACGAGAAAAAATGGGGCCCCAGTGCGGGACCAATGCTTTGTGTCTGTCCGCCACCTCCTCCACCTTAAGACCATCCACGACCGCAGCACGAAAAGTAAGACGACGAGCGAAGGGGGCCCATATCCGTGCTCTCCTCTCAAAAGCATGTAATTGCTGTCTCTCATTATGTCTTCCTCCTTCTCCGCCCGCCTCCTCAAGTGTAGCGCGAGCAGCAGCGCGATCAAGATTGGCAGCGCGTAGCTGCGCTTCATTTGTCCAGCGCTGGAGCGCCGCTGGATGCGCGAGCGAAACGCGATGGCCATCAATGCGGATGAAATCGGCCGCGGCAGTGTGCGAGCCAAGCAGGCGCACCGCCGACAGGACATCCAGGCCTGGCGCCATACAGCTCGCGATCGTACCCGAGCCAGAAGAAGAAGAAGCGTGCGAGGGTCCGACGGGTGCCCATGAGCATGTCACGAGCTCCTCTGCGGGCTTCTTGCATGAGGAACTTATACCTAGCTTGGCGCCTTGGAGGGCACGTAAGCAATAATGGCGCTTCCGCAATCTCTTCAAACTTCGGTGGGATGGATTTGAAGACAGTAGAGGAACATATATGCTAAGGCATGGGGCGCTTCGTCGGGGTTTGGGGTTTCCTCTGGCACGTGGCGATGATGAGGGCCGCGCGGTCGCTGATCTTAGTGCGGTGGAGTACTTCGGGGGCGCCCTCGACGCGAGCAGAAGCGCAGACCTGAGTGGGCACCCATCCAGACCCGGAGCACCAGAAGCGATCAATAGCAGCAGCGGCATCCGCACCCTTGTCGTAGTGCGTGGCGGCAGCGGCAGAGATTCCCACAAGCTTGTCTAACGTTGCAGACCAACGTGGGGCTTGGGCGTGATGGGGTCCGGCAATCCTCTGAGCCTCCGATGGCTGCGCGAAGCTCCGTTTTTCTTCGCTCGCAAAGTCAAAATCGCCGTGCGCCACTAGCAAAACAGATTCAGGAGATGATTCAGCTAACGTCCGATCTCGCTCGACATGGTCGCACGCATCCATAACCTGATCCGAGGATAAACCATGCTTGTGTATGTTATAATGGATAAGCTTAGCAGCCTGACTCCCAAACACCACTTTTAACGCGCGGCCAGGAACGAAAGAAGTAGGCGCGCAAGTAACGCCAGGAGGAGGGGAGGAGCAACCTTGGCCAGGAAGAACTATATCAGGCACGATGGTGGCTACCCCGCCACGGATTCGCCCTGCCCGGCCCCCCCCGCAGAAATTCGAACAAATCAGAGCGCATGGGAGAGCCCGTCTAATCAACGAAACTCACTGAGACTCGCACTGATGGGCCTCCTGCAGGGCAGTGTCTGTAGAGCCCAGTCGGAGCCTCTGGAGGTACCCCAATTTCACATCAGCGCGAGCGCCTTGATATTGCAAGAAAGCTCTGGAGTTCCAAAGGCAAAAACGCAGGCCTCCAGCTGTGGGGGCGTCGCGCAAAAATGGGAGCTGCGATCGGCCAAAGAGGGCCGCGAAGTGGCTAAAGGCACCACGCAGGCCCACTATCGGGCTGGATGATCTCCTGCGCTGCCTCGACGACCGTCTCCTTGGACACTCCGAACTTGGCGATGGTGCCTGGGTTCCACATGATCCGAGTGGCCTCGCGGCCTGGGAGCACCTCGATCTTGCGCAGCGCGTCCCGCCCCAGCGAGAGCCAGCCACGATCTCTGTCAGGGAGATCTTCTGCTCGCGGCCATAGATATCCTGCAACTTGTTGCGCATCTTGCGGCCCGTGAGTTCCAGCTTGATCTGCTTCGGGTTCTTGTCGCCGGAGACATGCAGACGGGCAGCCCCTCCATACTGGGCGGCCACCTCGAACTCGCGCCGAGAGCTGCTGGAGAGGCGCAGGCTGGACAGGAGCTTCTGAACCCTCCGCGAGGCCAGCCCCGCCGCACCGGTGAGGCGCATCGTGAACATCTTGGACAGATGGTCGGGCGAGTCGATGTTCCAGTTGGACTCCTCGATGTTGTGCTCTGCCAACCATGGGGGAATAATCTCAATGACAGCCTGGCGCGACACGAGCTTGCCTGCGTTGAGTTTGATGATGGTCGGGTCTGTGTCGCGATCGAACTGAATGATGCCCGCCAGGTTCTTGGGCGCGGGGCGAGCCGAGTTCGCCTCGACGAGGGCCGACTGGAGCTTGGTGGTCTGCTCTTGCATCTCGGCGAGGAGCTTTGCGTGGGTCTCGACCTTCTGGTCCACCAGGAGGACGTCGCGCTTGAGGTCGTCGCAGCGTGCCGTGACCTCACGGGGCAGCTCATCGAGCTTGGGCGCGACGGAGTTGCGGATTTGTTGGTCCAGCTTGCCAGGGAAAGCTTGCAGATCCTTCTGGCATTTCTCGAAGCAGGAGTCGAAATCCCGCTGGAAGGCGGACGCGATGGAGCCCGCCTCGGTCTCCACCGCGGATTTGACCGACTTGCCCACGGCGTCGTCCATGGAGCGCTGGAGGGTGACGAGACGCTCGGAGACCACCTCGGAGCAGAGGATGCGGATGTGCTCATCGCCGATGTCTGGGTCCGACTCCTCCTCGTCCATGCGATGTGCTTCTGGCGCACTGGAAGCAGCAGCGTAAACAGCGAACCGACGAAGACCACGATCGGGCTTCTGCTTCGTAGCATCCTTTCTGACCCCCTTCGGCGTCGAGCTCGCAACCAGGGCGGCCATCGAACTGTTGGCAGCAGACTGAGGGAACGAGCACGGGGCTGGAAGTGAGGGAGCCCAAATCCCCCAGTGAAGGCTGAGAAACACTGCCAGGCAAAACTGCCTTGCCTGCCGCGATGACAGCGGTATCCTTGCAGGCACGGAGGCGCGGATCCCCCAATGTGCAGGCATCTTGAGCCAAAATGGCTACGGAGGAGGAGGAGGACGAGGAGGAGGAGGAGAAGGAGGAGGAGGAGGAGGAAGAGGAGGAGGAGGAGGAGGAGGACGGGGACGAGGATGAGGAGGACGATGAGGACGATGATGAAGACGAGGGAAAGAAAGAGGAAAACGAGGAGGAAGAGGAGGAGGAGGAAGAAAACGAGGAGGAGGAAGAGGAAAAGGAGGGGAAGGATGCGGAGGAGGGGGGGAGGGTATGAGGAGGGGAGTGCAGGACGGAGGGGGGATGCATTGGAGGGGGGGGGCGGCGGCGGGAGGAACGGGAGGAGGTACGCGCAATGCGGCTGCAATCACGGCCACTGGAGCGCGCCCGGCAGGCTGACGTCGCACTTGTGCCTCGGAAGCGGCGACGCGGACCCGTCGGAGGGCTGCTCCGAATACGACCCGAGCGTCGACCTCGCTTCCTGAGGGCCGCCCATGCGCCGGCAATCGCGAGATATAGGGGTGGGGGAGGAGGCGTGGTGAGTGGGTGTGGGGGAGGAGGAAAGCAAAGGCGGGAGAGAGTGCGGGAGGAGGAAAGCTGAGGCGGGGCGGTAGGAATCTTTCTGCTTGTTAACAAAGGCACTTGCGGGATAAATGTGCGAAACCTGACGTGGCCCTACCTCCACCTTGACAGTTGGGGCTTGGGGGGCTCACTATTAATGATCAGTTTGCATTTGTCCATGGTGTGGTTGCTGGGACAAATGCCTTGCACAGGCCTTGGACAATCCTCGCACCTGACCATTGCTGGAAGAACTTGTACACGGGACAAACGGTCATCTAAGCACCACCGGTGCATGCGAGCGAAAGACATTTAAGTTTGAGCGCTGGCAGAATAAAGGACTCAAGATCGTGCACTTCTGAGAAAGCGACAGAACCAGGATCAACTATGCCGCGCCTGACTCTTCTGCACTTTCGACGCAAAAAAGCGACGCGTATGCCAATGTTCGGGCCTTGGGGGGGAGCCCTTTGGCGGCGTTCTGGGCGGAGAGGCTCAACTTCATACAGACCACCTTGGCCAATTAAGGCGCAAGGTTGGCGTGCGGCCCCAAACCGACATGGACACTTGGGTCCGGCGCTGGAGCTCCACCTCTTCATCTCTGGGTCAAGATGGCCTCATGGCAGCTCAAGCCCGAGCGGCTGCATCTGCCGCCAGCATGCGTAACTAGTCGGTGCCACCAGTCAGCAAATTCTGAACAATCACCGTTGGGGTCAGGGTGGGCTTTGACTCTTGCGCTTTTCGCCCACCTGAGCCCTTGTCTAACGGAAAACTGCCTAATTCAAGCGCGCGGCCTAACGTAGGTCAGCCGCAGTTGAGGATCCCGATTTCACTGTTGAGCTACGCTCGTACAGTCAGAATCTAAGCGCTTCTTGGGCCGTCGTGGAAGCCCTAGGGGGGGCGGCCAAGAAGCCAAATCGTAAACACGTTTTTGTTGCATAGTTTTCGCGTTACCGCCTTTGTCGGTCTTCAGGGCGTCCAGGACGGCCCAAGAGGCGCCCAAGATCACCGCCAAACGGCTTAAGAGCCCCCACGAGGGGCCCAAGAGGCCCCCACAACGACCCCAAGAGGGGCCCAAGATGGGGAACACAAACTGCTTAGACCTCGGCCCCAAAACCCTAAGATCCCCCCACAATCCCCCGAGGTGCGCCCAAGAGGCTCCAAGAGGCCCCCAGGAGACGCCGAGAGGCCCAAATAAGGCCCCAAGAGGTCCCCCAAACGCCCCAGGACACCCCCAAAACCGCCTCCAAGAGGCATCCGAGAGGCCTCCAAAGAGATCCCCACAATAATCCAAGGGGCCTCCCTCGTCTCTATAACCCAAGCGCGGTGGTTAAGGGGGAGTGGTCGAGCGGAGGAGGGCGATGAGTCCGAGTCAGCCCGTGCCAGTGCACCCGGCCTGGCCAAGCCTCCTCGCCGACCCCCCCCCGCTCCGCTCCTGGAAGGCGGAGAAGCCCCATGGGGCCTCGAAGGATGACCAGTTGGTGAGTATCTTGCATAACCAGAAAGCCACCCCTCGGATTGCCCAGGCCTCTCCTCTGATCTGCATGCCGATCGACTCCTCCCCCAGATCTGAGACTCTGGCTCGCCAGCGCGGGTCGGCAGGGGCACAGCCATGAGCCGCCCTGGGGCGAGCTCCGCCGCGCCCACCTGCCAGAGGCGATCGGCGAGAGCGCGGGCGCCGGCAGAGACCCGCCGCGCCTGCTGCTGGGGCCCCCGGCTGCGCCGCCGCCTCTGGCGCTGGCTGCAACGCCAGCGGTGGCTCGGGGCAGCGGCCGGGGCGACGGCGCGGCCGCCAGCGGGCACAGCATCGACGGTGGGAGCAGCGCCTTTCCCTGCTGCAGCTGCTTCCCCCGCCCGTTGAGAGCCGCCCGCTCCGACGCCTGCCGCCGCCGCTGCACCGCCCGCCCGCGCGCCGCCGTCGTTGGCGTTCCTTGTCTTGCCTGTGCGGTTATCGTGCTCGTTGTGTGCCTGTTTGACGTCCTCAAACTGAAGCCAACGCACCCGAAACCATATCTTTCGCACATCGTTGAAGCATGCCCTGCGTATGGTCCATTATGTTGTTGACCTCTGTCTGGTCACCTCGATCTTGCCATGCTCGGACGTCTCAGATCGTCCACCGCGGAGAAGGCGTCCGCGTTGATCAACTCCTCTGTCCCGATCTCGCTATTCGCCAACATGGTGGTGCATGCGCCTGCTGGTTTGACTGAGACGGTTCCGCCGACCAGCTCAGTCACGCTGTCTGTGTACGCTTGGTCAGCGTGGGCCAAGTATGCTTGCACTTCTGATGCGTACTCAAGGCCGCGGAGAGGGGGGCGAGACGATGAATCAGGAGAAGGGTCATGATGATGAGAACGAGGACTGCAAAAAGTGTGGGGAGAAAGTCTTGGGCGAAGGATGAGGACGAGGAGGAGGAGGAGGAGGAGGCGGAGGAGGAGGCGGGGGATCAGAAGGAGGAGGAGGAGTGGGACGAGGACATTGCCACCCTCCTGCCCTTCCTTCTTCCTCCCCCTCTTCATCCCTCCCTCCTCCTCCTCCCTCCTCCCTCCCCGTCTTCGTTCTTCTCCTCCTCCCTCCTCCCTACCTCTCCCTCCTTCTGCCTCCCTCTCCCTCCCTTGTGGGCCCAAGCCCGCTGCCCCCGACGCGCTGGCCCACAGGCCCTGCGGGGTGGCGGCGCTCGTGGCGGGGCGGTCAAAGCCCCGATGGGGCCTTTCTACACTTTGACAATACATTTGACAGTCCCTCCCTCCCTCCCTCCCTCCCTCCCTTCCACTTCCCTCTTCCTCATCCTTCTCCCCCTTCCTTACCTCCCTCCCCCCTCCCTCTCCTACCTCACTCCCTCCTCCTCCTCCTCTCCTTCTCCTCCTCCTCCCCCTCCCTCCCTCCTTCCTCTCTCCCTCCCTCCCTCCCTCCCTCTATCCTCCCTCCCCCTCGTTCCTCCTCCTCCTCCTCCTCTGCTCCTCACCTCCTCCCTCCTCCCTCCTCCTGCTCCTCCTCCTCCTCCCCCTCCCTCCTCTCCTCCTCCTCCTCCTCCCTCCTCCTCCTCCTCCTCCTCCTCCTCCTCCTCCTCCTCTCCTCCTTCCTCCTCCTCCTCCTCCCCTCCCTCCTCCTCCTCCTCCTTCTTCCTCCCTCCCTCCCTCCCCCCTCCTTCCCTCCCCCTTCCACACCTTCCCTCCATCCTTCCCTCCTCCTTCCTCCCTCCACCTCCTTCCCCCTCCTCCTCCTCCTGCTCCTCCTCCTCCTGCTCCTCCTCCTCCTCCTCCTCCTCCTCCTCCTCCTCCTCCTCCTCCCCTTCGGCCGCGCACGGCGTCCGACGTGTCGGGGCTCGGCGCGCGCGTGCTCGGCCCCTCTGGCGAGGGCGCCGGCGGCGCGGCCAGGCCGGCGGCGCGGAGGCCGCCCTTCGGCGCCTGCGACGGCGCCGCCCCTCGGGGCCGTCCTGCGGGGCAGCTCGAGGTCCAGATCCTCCCGACGAGGTCGTCGTCGTCGTCGTCGTCGTCGTCGTCGTCGTCGTCGTCGTCGTCGTCGTCGTCGTCGCCGCCGTGGCTTCCCGAGTCGTTCTTCGGCGGCCCCGTGGCCCGTGGGAGGGCCCTGGAGGCCCAAGCCCTGAGCAGAGCCTGTCCCAGGGCCCCTCGGGCCAGTTTCTCGGCGGCGAGCGGGGCGGGGGAAGTGAGAAGGAGGCTCGGGGACCCGGACCCCCTCGCGCAGTGAGAAAATCGCGACGGGAGGTTTTTCACACCATTTTCGGCCTCTGAGGGCCCTTGCCGGGGTCCAGACTTCTGGGGGGCCTCGGGGTGCGCTCCAGCAACTGCGCCTCGCCGAGGGCGTTCCGGGGGTGCCCGGAGAAGCCCTTCTCAGAGGCTCGGAAGTCCCCTGGCCTTCCGAGAAGCTTTCGAAGCCTTTCCCGAAGGCAAAGGCACGTATAACCTCTCAGAGGGTGCGAGGGCTTCTGAGAAATCCCGCCGCCTTCTGAGAAGGCCTTCTCCTCCTCACGCTCGCCGCCGAGTTTCCTTCATACTGAAACCGATGATCTTCAGAGCGTGTGGTAGCGCGAGCTTGGGCTTGTTCACCAAGGCTCTTCGGCTACGACGCAGGGAACGTAGCAAGAGCAGGCTCAGACTGCGTGCTATCGGCGGGCCTGAACTGGACGCACACTGGGCGAACAGACGTCCTGAGGAACTTCGAC